GCTGCATAACCAGCCTCCGAAGCATCAAAAAAGCCGTGTAAGGAAATGGAAGTGGCATCCGCAGGCAATATACGAGGAATGCTCAGCTGTTTGATATTCTCCAGGTCTTGTACAAATAATAACCACTCATCAGAAAGGGATTGGTTAAGAGGATCATCCCAGTTGAGGTCCGACATCCATAGACGTTGTATAAACGCTTTGGCTTTAAATACAACTGGAGATATCCATCCACATGGATCATAAATACGAGCGATGAGGGAGAGTATAGTATAGAACTGTACGTTTGGTTAGGGACTTCTGAGGCTTAAAGGAAAAACTGAATGTAAAGGAATCTGCAGTCGGATTGTACTGAATACCAAGTACAGGAATGGTTGGTGGGTTATCTGGGTCATGAAATTCATATGGACTCTGTAGATGTTCGAGGGGTATGTCTTTGAGCAATTCGGGTTCATTACTGATCCATTTTCTCAACTCATAACCACCACAGGCCATTAGGGACTGAAGTTCTGTTTTTAATATTTGAGCTTCACCGAGTGAACTCGCTCCGGTTAGGCAGTCATCAACATAAATATCATTTTCCAGAACAGCAGCTGCTCGTGGGTATGATGAGCGCTCACGTTCAGCAAGCTCTAAAAGAGTACGAATGGAAATGTAGGGACTAGACCGTAGGCCGTAAGTATTTGTAGCTAACTCGTACGTAACAAGAGGTGCAGATGGGGATTCACGCCACAAGATTAACTGATACGGACGATCATTGGGGTGCACCCAGGTCATCCGGAACATCATTTTTATGTCTGTCACAAAGACCACAGCATGTCTACGGAAATTAAGAAGGTTATGAGTGATATCTCGTTGGAGCTTGGGACCTGTGTGTAAACACTGGTTTAATGAAATACCATTAGAGTTTGGACTACTTCCATTAAAAACAACACGAATTTTAGAGTGGTCGTCGGCCTTAAACACTCCGTGATGGGGAATATAATAATGCTCAAGTAATGATGGATTATAGGAAATGGGAGACATATGGTGAAGATCTATGTACTCACGCATAAATATAATATATTTTTCACGAAGCTCTGGGTTGGCATTGAAACGTCTATCTAAACTTAGGAAACACTTAACCGCTGTAGACTTGGATTCACCAAGCTGGGGACGATCATAGATAAACGGAAGTCGGACCATAAAACGACCGTCACTCTCACGGGTGATGCCATTCTTAAAAATACGTTCGCACTCTAACTCCTCAGGATTGGGATTGAGAACTTGAGGCAGTTCCTCAATTTTCCAGAATTTCTCTACGACCTGGGATAGAGAAATGCCAGTCATAGGGGGTTCAAGGTCGGGGAAATTACCAGCAACAAGTCCAGACAATACACAACCAAAAACGGTTGAAAGGCCGGTCAGACCATGAGGAAGAGAAATCGATTTTTCAGGTTGCATAAGATAACCGAACACGTCGGCACCTAACAATACCTCAATAGGCCCTGGTTTATAAAAGGAGGGGTCCGCTACGGAAAGGTGATTAATACTATTAACGACAGGCCTAGGCAACTCAATCTCAGGATGGGGACCTGCAATTACATCAACAACCACTGCAGGGGTTGTTATCACAGGATACGATCTATGAACTGGTTTAAAGGTAAGGGAGATAGACCCGCGGGAATATACAGATTGAATGTTGCCAATACCGCGAATAGGTACTGAGTTTGATGATAAGGGGACATTCAATCTCTCAACAGCTAAGTCGGTAGTAAGCAGACAACCTTGTGCGCCTGTATCACATAACGCACGGGCCTCTATAAAATAACCATAAGCCGATTTGACATGAATAATGGCGGTAGGTAGGAGGACTAGGGAATTGGAGGGAATAGACATATGTGGTGAGAAAGCAGGGGGGGATACAGGGCCTAGTTATTGGGACGAGTTCCGTCTATGGTTGGTATGCATAGAACGGTCGGGGAGGTCACGTGACTTATGGTATGTTTTATCTCGGGAAGTGATCGCGGGGGGAGGGGACGTATGACGACAATCTTGTCGTGAGTATGTAGGAGGAGAAGTTCGACGTGCAGGGGATGACGAATCACAACAGGGAGTACGGCTGTTATAAGGGGGACGGCCCCCGCCCGTGCGGGGAGGTGATGTACGCGGTGCACTATGCACAACAGCATTGCGATAATTTGTATTATTACGATTCTGATGGTTAGGATAAACAGGATCTCGAGAATTGTTAAAACACAGTAAGGTGTGATGGGAGGACCGAGCACAGACAGCACACCTGTAATCACGTGTGCAATTGGCTATCAAATGTTTATCTAAACATCGATAGCACAGGCCAGACGATTTAATAAAATAAGGTCGGTCACGTGGGTTCATATCACGAAATTGGGGACATTCACGTAAATAATGGGAATCTCTATTACACATATGGCACTTCTTATTGGAAACTGGTACCTGGGAAACGTAGGCCCTACGCGGGCGGTTAGATTGCTGGTTATGCGAGTATTCAGGCCTTCGTTCAAACGTACGGGAAGTTGGGGCAGAATCTACTAATGCTGCATCACCTACATTATCATGGTGGCGGTACTCATCCTCTAAAAAAGTGATGATCTGATCAAACTGGGGCAGTCGATCACTATCACCACCGTAACGCCGCTCAAAACGAGCCTTTAACTCCAGGGGCAACTTATTAAGGCATATGTGCACTAGCATATATGACCAACTAGTCACAGGTAACTCTAAGCGTTCCAAACAACGATAAGCTGTTAACAATGGGTTGAGAAACGAAGCACGTAATCCATTCAATTTAGGTGGTATGTTAGGTAAGGTAAGGATCTGTGTTATATATGTATCCGCCAGTATTCGCGTATTATGATATCTCCGCTTTAACAAATCACGAGCGATAGGGTAATTCTCTGCTTCAATACGTAAATGTAATAGTAGACGTTTAGGCTCACCCGATAATGCACCAACAAGGTACTGTAACTTATTAGTAGGGCTAAGGTCAGGCTGGGAATCGACAATACTATCAAATTAGTCGACGAAGCTCAAATAGGATCCGCTTTGGCCATTAAAGGTAGGAATAGGTAAGTCGGGTAGTTTATTTTTAATACACATTAGAATAGAATAGAATAGAATAGAAAATCATTTATTCAAATAAACTTACATTGAAGCACTTTTGAATAGTCATTACATTTTTTAATCTACCGCTCATGCGGAAAGATGTCTCTTCACAAGAAGAACGAGAAGAAACTTGCGTGTTGCTCTTTTAAATAATTTTATTATTACTTTACATTTTTAAGTTTAAGTGTGTGAATACAAACCACCAATTAGCACTAATTCTATTAAATACTCAAATAGAAATAATATTGAATATATAACCAACTGGTTAAACAATTAATAAGACGAAATCAGTTATAGTGATTAGAGCAGACCAGTCCCTACAAGCAGCACCCGTTCACGAGTATATATAGAGGGGAAGATATCAATGGAAGCCGCTTAGGAGTACTCGACTCTGTAGGGGGATCATGGAACAATTCAGGCTGCAACTCACTAAACCTAAGCCGCAACTCATCTACCATAGGCCGCATTGACTTAGATAAGGTTAGGGTATCTTTATACTCCTTCGTATCAATCGCCGGGTTCAAACCGCCAAGGAGACAAGAACATGCTTCATTAAATTTAGCATAGATCTCATTCAGTTCAGAAAGCCGCACGATAAGCCTATCACGTGACGCAGAAGGCAGCAAAGCATAAGTATCCGTAATCCAGTCACTGATTAATCGAACAGTACCCATTGACTGACGATACTCAACAGTCTCACTGAATAAACACGCTCTCACTGTATCATTAGGATTCGACATCTTTATTTTAATTATTAATTACCACAAACAAAAGAAATATTTAATAAAATATAAAGATATAACTCACGAGTATTTATAAAGGCCAAATAAAATATAATAATAATAGATTATTATTATATTATCAATAATCAACTATATTTTCAAACAAATCAAGAATGTACCTAAATATTACTTAATACAGAGTGAGCATACAAAGTACCATAAACACAATATTCTCGCATATAGAAAACCAGTTTAAGATCATAACAAGTTGTTATCTTTACAATTAAAGAATGTAGGTACCAAGCGAAAGAATTCTAACAGGCCGCTTTATATTGACAACTTAGTAGGTAGTACGATGTAAAAGATAATTCACTCAATTTATATCAATACATTACGCTAATATGCAATGATACATTTATTACTTTTATTAAAAAGGTATTAATTATTAATAAACACCTACTCAACAAAATACTAGGTTTATATACGCAAATAGTACTTTTAATTTACGATGTTAAACACGATCACAAGTTATAGGTAAAGGTCAAAGGTCAAGACGAGTAATGTAATAGTATTAATTTAATTTAAGGCAAACTAAGCACAGATTTATTTGTAATAAACAATTAATAGGGTGTTCCGGGTACGGAACAGGCCAGATCAAATGTAATCAGAGGTTTCCAAACTACGCTCTGCTACCAAAATATTTGGGAAACTACTCTGCTATCAAAATGTTAGGGAAAAAGGTAGGTCACGTACCTGTATGGTTCTGCGGATTTCTTGGGCTTCAGGGTCTCGAAGATATCTTCGCTAGCTTTCACACACTTTCACAGTAGGTTTTACAGTTCTAATTTATTTTAATTCACAACAAATGCGCGCGCGCGTCAAGGCCGCTGTACGGTCCGTTTGTTACTAGTTAGGGAGGGGAAGGGAACGCGCGGGAACAGAAAACTAACGGACTCTAATATAATATAATATCTGTGCTTACGATGATACAGGGTAGATTTTGAACACTACTTATTTTTTAAATAATACAACAGCCCCTATATAGCTGATAAAGCAACATAATTTCTACTGAACTTCTTTTTTTTTAATCCAGTATGTTAATATTGTTACAACATAAATCCTTTTTATTACAATGACTAAGTAATTTTTTGTTCTCAGCGTGCCTAGAACCGTATGCGACGGAGACAGCTATGAGGGAGTGCCACGGCAAGAGACGGTGCGTTCTGTCGGCGGATAGTAAGATGTTCGGGAAACCATGCCGCCCTGGTAGCAGCACTTTCTTAAAAGTAGTCTATACATGTGGTAAGTCAAGAATAAAAAAATGATAATATACTATAATTGTAGAGTAAATTAGAATATAGAGTCAGATAATAGGAGAAAAGTAAAACAAAGTTAATGTTGGTGAAAAACATGCTTAAATATCTTGTAAGAGGCTAGTAAGGGAGGGAGGGGTTATCAATAATATCCTCATTACTGATAATCCCCCCCCCTATGGGATCTACCTGACTATGGCCTATAGTATGAGTAGCCTAGTAGTCTATTATACCACTTATATTTATAATATCGTTTATCATTAAATGGACCACATGATTACTCGCCACCAACATTGTATAAAATAAAATCTACCTTGACATGTCGATCTCCACGTGGCCCCATTTGAAATCCGTCGTGGTTAATATCTAGTGAATTAGCCATGATGGGCTAATTGACCTAACGTCATTAAACTAATATATTTTAGGTATGTTTTATTAATTAATTAATATTTTACCTTTGAAGCAATTTATATATCAATTTACCTACCTGAAGGTACAATTTGACGAGTGCCGATTCAATTTATCGATAGCGAATTCATTGCTACTACGTTATGAAATAAACTAAGACAGCAACATATTACGCTCTAGTCTATCTCAAGCGTATGATAACGATCAATTATATATACCACTGAACAGCTTCCCTGTACTGTGAATTATACGAATTGATTTGTTGGATACGTTTGTCAAATGACGGAACATAGATAAATGAGTGTCGTATATATTTATGTATATATTGTTTGTGTTAACTAAGAATGCACAGATATTAAGCAAAGAAACTGAAATCTAACTTTAATCATTATAAAATTAATATTAGCATATGTTATCTGTGATATTAGTGTGAATCTTATGGTTTACAAAAAGAATCCTTGATCAAAATCGAATAAAAACATACAAAATGAATATTATCTTATATATAAAATTCTCATGTCACAGTTTTCGTTCCCATACTCCTCCGAAACGGCTTGACTGATTCTCATGAAATTTTCTCAGTGTATTGAGTAGGTCTAAGAATCGGCCAACATCTATTTTTCATCCCCCTAAATGTTAGGGTAGTCCACCCATAAACATTTTTATTTTATTTTAAGGTAAAACAACGTTTGCCGGGACAGCTAGTATTATATAATAATGTTGTCTGAATTAATAAGTGCTTGCTTTATGAAGTGGATATTAATTTTAATTGCCTGGTTAGACATAGACAAGAGAGTTTTTTATTACAATACAATTTATTATCAAGTTACTTGTTCAGAATCCATTTGAACATTAGACAGTTCGTTTTAAAGAATTACATTTTTCCCGAATAAGATAAAAAAATATTAATCTTACTTGATAAAGAAAAATTACTGTTCCCGAAGAAAGATCCGTTATTTTCGGAAAGTTTTTACAGCCAGCTTATATAGTAAAGACGTTATCCGCCTTTATTAAATAAGTTGCCGTGTTTATTAAGACCGATAGGACGGCTTTAAGTGTCCTTATCATTATTTATATTAAGTGAACTAATAAATGTAAAACATGTAACAATAATTATATTTGAAAATAATATTAAAGTATTGTCTTCAAATAATCCTACAATTAGACGACTAATATGTATGATTATTTTCATTATTAAATAATTCTAATTAATTTCCTGCTCAAAATTCAATATTTTTGATAATATAATTATTTAGTTACAGACGAAAGTAGCCCGACAGACTCTCCCGAGTTTTGTGATTGTGTTTGCCTTACTGTTACATAGATTCGTATATAATATAAAGTATAATTGACATAATATATTTAGATGAGTATTTCAAATTTTATTTATTTTTGATAAGTAAGTACAATCAGGGTTTTCTATAGTATTTTATCGAATACATCTCAGATTTTTAAACTTTATTAATATACTTAAACGGATTCTAACGGTCATCTCTCGACGTTTCGTAGGTTACACTAACCGTGGTCACGAGCTGACTGGAGTAACAGTGTTGATAGGTGTCGGCAGTTCGTTCGACTACCGTTATTAGTTTGTCCGCCCTCAAAAGTAACAAACAATCTGCGTTCCCCGAAAGATAAGCTGCCATACAAAATTTATTTCGTCCGACCCGACAACACTATATTCTTCGATGAAGATAAGGCTGAGTTCTAGCGTCAACTTTTATTTCCCAGTCGAGGCAGGTCATCTCGAGAAGATAGACACCGAAGTCGAACGCATCGCGTCCACCCCGCCCACCGAATCTCTCTCACCAGTCACGCTTGATGAGGTCAAAACGCTAGTTAAACAACTACCTATCAAAAAATCACCCGGCTCAGACGGCATATCCAATTTATCAAAAGTCTGCCATCCCAACTTTTAGTATTACATTTTTAACTGTCCAACGATTTTTAAACTTTATTAATATACTGGGCGAATGGTTCCGTCGGTCTAATCCCGAAAAAAGTGCAGCAGTGTACATCGACTCTCACCCGATCGAACTATTCGGCCAAAACATCCCGTTTTCGAAAACGAAATATCTCGGCGTCACCCTAGATACAAACTAACGTTTCGTCCTCACATCAAGTCACCGAGCCGCCTTTATAATAGGGCGACTCTATCCTTTTATTAACAAGCACAGTAAAATGTCGCTTCGCAACAAGCTGACATTATACAAGGCTTGCATCCGTCCCATCATGACTTACGCTAGTCCCGTATTCGCCCACATACCCTACTGTTTAATCAGACTACAGATCATACAGAATAGGTTTCTGCGTCGAGCCACCGGTAACAATCTGCGACCTTAATCCCCCATCAAGCAATGAAGATACGCTAGACTCTGCCCAATCCCACCCTAATCCGCTTATAGTCAACTACGCACCGAGGAGTTATCCGACATACGCGACAACGTCGCCCGAGGCACGTCGATGACCCCATATTTTTACACACACACACGGTTAAACATAAACACTAACGCGCATTCAACCTTTGTTATTCAAATTGATATTAAAAATGCAACACCATCATAGCTCCATAAGTCCTTCCATGTTATTGAATCTGCAGCCCCATTCAATTCATAACATTAGATAGTCCAAAAAAAAAAAAAAATTCAATTCATAACTAGATAGTATTTGAAGTACCGTTTATCTATTATATTGCTTTTATTCATACGTAAATAATGACTATAAATATAAATGGAATTACAAGTAAACACTCGGTACAAGTAATATTCTCTTTCATCTAAAAGACGCTAGCCAATAAGTCATCAGCCTCGTTTTATATTGCAGAGATCTTTTGCCAATCAGTCAAAGAACTTTGGCCTTATTCTCTCTTGTTTTTATTATTTTGTTTTCTCCTAGCTGTTTTTCTTGTCAAATATTATTTATGTAGAAAACAGTACACAGTAATTTTGCAAATAGAAGTAAATGTAGAACTTATACATAACTGGAAACGCAAACATATTCCAGATGCATCGTATATATTTTTTTATGGTATAAGTCTAATGAAATGCTATAATATATATTCATATGTGGCCAGAATATCTAGAAACTAGGTATATACAATAGATATTCATGGGTAATCCCATTGGTATGATTGTGGTTGTAAACTAAATTTTAACTGCGGTTTCACTAACTAGGGTTGTTAAACTTGTCTTGAAATCTCGTATTTGATAGAATACATATGCAAACTTCCAAATCAGTTCAGTTCTAAAATGATTATTATATATGTCTGTTAGGAATTGAACAAAATTATCGAATTATGTACACAAAATAATTTAAAATAAAATTCTTTAGTTGAACAAAACTAATGTGAAGAACTATATTCTCAGATCTCATGTAGGATATTTTGTATTTTCTCGTCAGTCCACTTTTCTCCTTATCTTTTTTCTTTTATTTTCATAAATATGTGGGTCTCAAATATGTATTTTAATTTGTTCGAATGATGCCGCCCCACTTCTGCTATTTGACGTTCATTAATAATATACATATACACACACACTCTATTCACTTCTAGCGATGTTCTATTGAAACATTTCTCGCCTGGCTGGCGTCCGTGATAAATCCAAGTTATAAAAATGCGGGACGAACTACGGACAGTCGGAACTCTTTATTTTATTATCTACAAGAATAGTGGATGTCTCTCAGTACTACATTCGTAAGAAAGCCCTTTTTCATTATAATAGCCAAGTTTATACACGGTCGTTTCTAAAAGTTATATCTCCACAAAATACTTTCAATTGAATTTAAATTTCGTGTGTATGTATGTAAATATTTATATAACATACATACGAAGCACACAGTGTTAAAAATATTTTATTTTTTGCAATGTGTTTTATTATTATTTCCACCATATTAGTCTAAAATATGACCTTGATATATCATGCAGAAATTACTACAATAGGGGTTGTCTTCAGTGCGTTTACGCAGTCTTCCTCTCGCTGATTATTAGTTACATACTGTTTTAGACCGAGTATCAGTCACATAAATTCTAAATATAATTATGACTTTATTTTAGACATTTAAATATATATATATATATCTAATATATTTGTTACTGAATGTTACATGCAGGTGATAATTATACTAAGTTTATATTTAGTCTGTTTCCATTTGTTATACGATATGCATCTACACGGCTAACGTTGTTAATGAACAGCCATAGAGATACAGTTGTTTTAAAAACAACCCGGAAATATCACCGTTCTGGCCCATTTAAAAATAATTAAAGAACATTATACGAATAATAATATCGCGTAAATAATATTATAAGATGCACTAATTACGCTGAGTGCAGAGTTTCGTTTCATAATTATAAAACTCATCGACGTTCTGCTTTGTAGGTTTCTGGATAAAAAATTTTAAGAGTATATAAATTATATTAATTTGTTTAGTTTATGATAATGGAATAGTCAACCAGCCCGCAATATTATTATAATATAGTATTGGCTGGGTTTGGATGATTTATTAAAATAAAGAAAGTTTCTTGTTATGATAGAAACGAGTAGTGTGACTACTTAGACGTTATATATTTTACGTTGATTGTTAGCAATAGTATCAAATTAAAGATAACTTATAGAAGCTAAAATAAATAGAGCTGATCATTAAAAACATGGCAAATTCATTAAAAAACTACTCCGTATCCTTACTCTAAATGAATATAGCTAACCCTGCAACATACTTTATTAAAAACGGTTTAATAGTTAAGCAAACTAGATGCTTTTAATGTTATATATATATATATATATATATATATATAAATCACACGCTTAATACTAAAACGCATTAAATCCAAAACTAAAATCATGCGCGATCGACTTAATTTGTTTATTAATTTGAAGTTAATTTTTTAATGTTTGAATTCAAACCGTCCACGATGAACTTGATTCCATAGATAACAAGAGTGACAAAAACTACCGTCGTCTGAAAGATGCGGCGTCTGGATCAGCAAAAAATACAACTAATACACTAACAAGTCACGTCCTACCGTAACTGTTCTTTGTCATAAAACGTGGCACACTCGAAACACCAAAAATATAAATCCCTAAGCACCCTAAAATCTAAAATTAACATCCGAAGTTAAGCGTTGCTTTAATGAGCCGCAGTATTAAGAGCACTTGAGATGCTGAACAAAATAGCTTCTACAGCTGCGGGTTTAAGTACATTTTTAATTGCGGTTGACTTTGATTTTGTTGCCACAGTTACTGTCAAATGAAAATAGGTTTTATTACTATGTATTAAAGTGTATTTGTTGTTGCAGTGCCACGGACAGTGCTTAAGGAGAGATACGAGAGTGCGCCCGAAGAGGACGAGGTTGCACATGACGTATCCGATCTTGAACACGACGATGTTGGTTAGTCCTTTTTACTTTTGCCACTTAACATGACTTAAGTAGTGCAGTAGCTACTCACTCGGCTATTTTTGAATAAGTCTGACACGACCTTATAGTAAATCTAAATATTATTAAAAAAAAAACTTTACAGTTATATCAAAATTAGGTTATTATATTTTTCATTCAATGGATGATTGGTTTGATACCAGTGAACTAATCTGTTTTTTTTTGGGAATATTAAATAAATTTTGTTATCACTATAGATAATCTCTCTTTAAACCAAACAAAGTCTCCACAAAACATTTTTTTATTGTACATTTTTTTTACCTTATGTTTAATGTTTTTTATTTATTAATACAATTATCTAATTACAAATAAACTATTATAACTGTGTTAGACCCATGTTTAATAGTACGATAGAACGATGGAGGGTTGCCTGAAAAAAAGACCTATTAAATGATTTAGTTGCATTACCCTAGAAATAACTATGCTTTAATAATAAACAACATTTGTTTCTTTTTTTATATTCACAATATAATAATTTTATTTATTGGTCAGTTTATTTTTTTTTCAGTCTACTATGTTTTTACTCCAACTCACATAACGCCATCTAGTCTCTAGCTAAGCTAAGCTTATGTTATGGGTACTAGACAACTGTTATAAATACCTAGATACAGTTTTTTACATACTTAATATATATAGAAAGCCCTTGGACTCATACAAACTATCATACATATGAATATAATTGTTTGTACCATGCCAGGAATTGTACCCGTTACCATCGGAATTAAGGTGCGTAACCGCTAGACCATCGAGGCCGCCAAAATAAAGCACAAGCAATTACCAATTTTCTTCATTCTAAGACCATTCATAGTTAAGTATGTAAATGGCTGTTTTTTGATATCATAAATCTGATTTCGCAGAGATATACTGATGATCTAATGATATCTGAAGGAAAATAAACTCAATCTAAATGTCTAATGATTTCATTTAAGTACATTTTTAGAATGTGAAGGAAAATCATTTAGAGAGCAAAATAGCACTTTGTATTTTTATTTTCCTAAATTTTTATCGTCTCAATCGATGCGAAGGAAGGCACAAAGAACTTGCTAACTACAATAATGCTGTTCTTTAAACCGTCATTTTTTCTTTTTCATTTTCCTATCTGATGCTTGTAACAAAGACTTGCTGTGTTATATTCAATAAAAAGAATTAATCTTTTTTTTGTGGTATAAAATGTATTTATTTATTATATAGATACATAATTTATAATTGTAAGTAAAACTTTATAACCCATAATATATATCATCTAGGTACATAAAAACTCTATTTAAGAATGAGATATCTATGTATCAGTTCTTCATTATATATATAAAAGTATATAGTAAAAGATTTGCATAATTTGTAACTAGGAGACGCTATGTATATGTACATATATATACCCATTTCTATTTATTTATTTGTTCAATGATTAGCACATTGAAACAAACAAACCATTTAGTATGAATCTATCAGATTCACCGCGTAACAGTTTACGACTGCCGTAAATCAGTTCCGTATATTGTGATACTAAGAGTAATCACAGTTGTGTGAACGTAACAAAAGGAAAGAACGCTGTAACTATAAAGTCCATGTAATGTTCACAGACAATCTTATGAATCGCTCGGGTCGAAGCGAGGTAGTTTTATAGCAGCGCTATAAAGGTGTAGATGTACTCTGGGAAAGATCGCGGTTCGCGTTAACCTCTTCTCTTAACGAGGTAATAGAAATAGATATTCAATGTCTTGTACACATGAGACTATCAAGTGGTGTTGTTATCTCACTAGGGTTCATGAAGTAAATGAATATACTAAAGACTAAAACAACCGATCCGTTAATAGAACGAATGAATTAAAATTCACATGTCCAAATCATAAAGAAACATAATTTAACAACTATTTTATTTATTATTATTTATATCTCTTTAGGCATTTAATCGAGCAATAATCTAAATCTATTTAGGAGTACAAGCTTTCATGTTAAGTACTAAGTTGGATTTCTAAAAAATTATATTCATTTTTGGAAATAATTAAAGAGGTATATCTTAGTAGTTTCGAACTATTCAATATTTAAACTATCTCGGTCTCTATATAAAAAAATGCAGATTATAACATAATATATTAGAGATTTCAGAAGAATCAATTACTCCACTTACATCATTTGACTCTCTACACCATTATTTAGAAAGGATATTCAATTCAATATTGAAATTCTCACATCCCATAACTTATCAAAATAAATAAATCCTTATAACTACCATGTACACACATAATATTTTTTATGACAAAACATATTATTAATTCTGTATAAAACATTAACATTGTCTTCCATGTAAAAATATATGGAAATTACTTTCATCCATTAATTACGTTCATAAATAGGTACACAATAAATTTAATTTGAACTTTATGCCATCAGTTCAATCTTCTATAGAGATTAATTAAGATATTAACTCAGTTCAAATGTTAAAGATAAAATTGAAGTATTCTCTGAACTTTATTAACGTACACGAGATATAAGACACAAGCTAAGAAATTTGGTTAATCCACTCTTAATTTGGAGTCGCGCAATCTACAAGGATTTGTTTTGTTCAATGCCAGTATTCTTCTTTGCTTTGTCAGTATAAAAACGGATTAAGGGATGAAAGCTTTCCTCTAAAGGGGAATTCGTTCGTGACGGCTCATATTCTAACTCTATTAGTGGTGTTATTAGTATTTCGCGACGTTAGCTTTAAAAAGCTTCGCGTAATTTATTTTGGAAAATCATTAACATTACGGCTTATGTTTCTATTTTAGTATGAAAATGCATATTTTATATTTTATACTCTTAATATGTGAATTTATTATTGATGCCTAATTTGGAGGTGGAGTGGTTTTTCAATTTACGCTCTTTATGAGATAATTTTGACAAATAATTTCTTATACGGCTAAATTTTCTATTTTTAGATGAATATTCCTAATTATGTTGCATTAGTTGTTGTCGCATGTTCAGTTTTAAATAAACTTTTCTTATTTGGCTCTAATTAATTAATATTGGGAAACCCGTTTTATTACGATTTAGGTTTATATTTCGGTATGAAAATTGATAATCAATTTGCATTAGCCTTATTGCATTGTTAATATGGGAGTTTCTAATTGGTATCCAATATAGAAATGAACTTTTCATTGTACTCGGATCTGATTTTATTCCACTGAATAGCAGTCAATTATATAAGGATTCTTATATAAAGTATCTACTTTCAGACCATAATTCTAAAAGTACTTTCTTATAGCAAACGCTGTTGGCCATTTAAAGAGAAGTGGCCAGATTCTTTATCTTCTTTAGTTGTTAGATACTTCTAGATATGAAACATATTGTAAACTATCAGAATTTTAGCTATATACTGTATACTGTATTTTAACTATATACGTTATATATATATACATTGCAAGTTGTTTTTAAACAACACTGAGATTTATATATTAATCAACTACAGTATTTTTTCCTAAACAGCAAAACTTAATAGATGATTACATCTAGGTTTAATTTCGCCCCTTCACTTGTTCATTACTGAACATCAACCGAAATAGATTGGCACAATCTACGTTAAGTCTTGACCCACCCGTATCATCGACATCCTGTTTAAGTTTGTCTATAGAAACGAACTTACACTCAGATAACAGATAATTGTTGTTATAATCCTGAAACAATATTTCTTTTACGTGTACTGTTATTATATGTATAATAATTTAAATATCGGCATTAATTTGGCTTCTTGATAGGGAAGACGATGTTGGGAGACGGACTCTTACCTGTTTTATAAGATGCGTATAAGTAACACAAGTGTCACGATGTCGTGATGTACGTGTCATGATGTCGTGATGTACGTGGTATGGTTCATATAGTATATATAGACGACGGTGGTCACTTACTATTGTCAATTTGTCTGTCTTTCCACTCATACGTCTATCTCAAATGACTGGCTTTAGCTATAAGTAATAGAGCTAAACGAGAGAAAATCGTAATATGTGAAAGACTTAAAGGTCGCCGAAGATGAAATTATATGTAAATATATATATATATATATATATATTACTTGAAAACAGTACTTAAATTTATTTTCAACCATTTCCAATTCAGTCTTAATTGTATAATATCTGTTCAAAATAATGGATTTAGATGGAATTCATCAATGTTTAGAAAAACGATCATGTATATTTTATCAATAGTGGTAGATATTTATTGTTTAATAATATAAATACTTGTATCTAATTTCAAAATAATATCCTTAGATGATTCTGGAGACCGGTGGTGGGTCGAATCAGCAGTACCTCCAGCACCAGCCGTTGCTGGCGTACCACCTCAGAGACCTTCAATGTCTACCAGCATCAACGCCACAAGTGTCCTCCGAGATCTATCTTCTGCCTCGCCTCCCAATCAACAGATCACTAAAGATGGTAAAAATATTTAATTTTTAATTAATTATATATACATACATTGTATCCATAATAGTTTATAGCTAGTCCGATCATCTGTCCGAATGTCACAATTTATATACGATCTTCGTAATATTCTCATAATGACTCTCTAACGGAGGTATACTTAATGATTTTTAAAGGACCTCTGCATGTGACAGTGGAAACTTGGATAGAAAATTAAACAGATGCTACTGAGAGTAGTGTCATTCAAGACATTTTCATAATGAAATCTCTATATTTCTTGACTTTTGATCGATCAATGTAAAATCCAGAACTTAGAATTAAAAAAAAATGTTTCTGATATTACGTAGACATTTAAAAAGACCTTTGTCATTACTACAGTAACATAACGAAATGAGTTCCTACAGTAAATAGAACTGTGATCTTTTTCAAATATGTTTACAGAATATTTGAAGTAAAAGTAAATTATTTTATTATACGGATTATGTACCTATATTAAACCGATTTATATATTGCGTCTAGTAACTACTAACCACAGTTTTAGTGCGAATTGACGTAAAGATAAATTTTTAATATAGATTTCCTCAATTCCTGTATCTAGATTTAGTTTGTACTTCTTTGCCAAACCCAATAAAGTAAATAATGTTAACAAAATGACTCTAAGAAGAATAAGTTCATTTGAGTTACTTCCCCGGTCTTCTCTGAATCTGATTTAATTTTCTACCGTCCAGTTCAGACTTCTGCAGGAAAAGTAATAATATAAAAACTTGGCTTGAATAAATGACCAAAACGACTGTTTAATTTAAACAGTTTAAAAAATATAGATTACATAATACAATATATATTGTAACAATAAATTTCCGTATAGTAACGTAGCTTTATGAGAAGCCAAGTTAATACCTTAAAATGTAAATATTATAATCGAAAATTTCTTTGTGTAAATTAATTTATTATTAAAACTCAATTTAAATGATAAGTATCTGATATGTGAAGCAATTAATATTCATTTTATAATTCTTCGTCCATCAAAGGTTATTGAACAATGAAAATTTAACACGATATTTATTTCGCACGGCTACAAATTTGAATAGCATTTATACTTTAAGTTTATCTAAATATAAAATACTATGTACTGCTCGTGACTTTGTCCTCATTATGAATAAAATGCTACGTAATTCTCCAATTCTAAATATGTACTATATCATGATAATCGGTATACCGTGAAAGCGGAACACATTCAATTTTGCATTTATAACATTAGTTAGGATTTTACATTAAATTTTATAGCGCACACATTATCACTATGTCGCATAAGTACACAATATTATCTGTGGACTGTTCTTAACCACAGCTTGTGTAAACTAACTAAAATGTTGAATCAGATATTTGTATTCTCTTTACTATTACTTGCCAAAATTTGCTGTGTTGGTAACTACGTTCTTATGTATCTACATCTATTTTATAAACAGATTAAATTTTATCTAATGTTACTTTAAAGTATGCTTGAATTATTAAAGTATACTTTATGATTTCTATGTACTTTACACATGTTCAGTTCGATCTTCAGGCGACAAATCTTCAGTTTTACTTTTTTTATGTATCTTCTTTATATCTTGTGTCTATGTTAATATAATAGATTATTACTGTAATTAATATTACAATGTACACTTACATCATAATTCAGATTCCAAATTATTACAACAACATGTATATTATTTATCTTATTTTATGTATAGGTAATATGTAGAGTTATTCCTAAGTTTATTCTTCATTCTACACACTAAATAATTATAGGGTTTAGTTTCCTACCTTAGGCAAATATAAATAGAAATTCTGAGACAACTATTTATGGCCATATGTACATAATTATTAGTTTTGCTTTAGAACTGAGTCACTAAAGTTGAAAATAATACAAAACTATGTCAAACGTAATATCTAAATTCAGACATACCTATATTTCTTAAGATTTTTGCATTTTATATCAACTTCTATTCTATGTGTAACCTTTGTATAATATTAATTCTTTGTCCACAGATCAGTTCGATATTATGTATGTGTACATAATCGCTGCAATCTCTGTGGCATTATTGCTCTGCATCATAATCGCTGTTGTGCGGTGTGTTATGCACAAACAAACCACAGAACCGCCCAAAGGACCCGACGTTTCCGCCACTACGGAAATTCCCAACGGTTTCAACGATAGCATATCAGAAGTAGACAACGATATCAACATCACTAGTCTTTCCGGTCCGGTGGACACCGTAGACTCGGCCGTCAAGCCAGAAATGCAATTCACGAACGTTGCCCTCAGCCCGAAGATTAATCGGTACGTCGGTCGCCCCGTGCCTAATACGTATCCACACATCAGTACGAATATGTATGGCCAAGTCGCCGAATACCCTATAGAAATGCCGTTGCGGACTATGCCTCACGGTACACTAGGTCGTGGAGTGGCAGTGAAAACTTTACCTCGTGTGCAAATGCAAAACGAAACGGACCCTAATACGAGAAGTTTATATCGATATTCCAACGCCCAGTACTACTTCGGGTGACAAGAAGATAAAGGACAATATTCGGACGTGTCGAGGACTTACTGTTTCTAGTTAGTGTAAATAGTACGTGGTTATAAGTTTGTAATGTCCTACTTTAAATACGGAAACTGTGATATTAATTGAATCTTTCCTATTGTGCTACGGACGGTACCCAACTGAAGGCACGGAAAGGCACTATGAATGTTGCTAGTTAGGGTGTTGTAGGGAAAAGTTGTAGAACAGTGTTAACCTCCAGATGACCAAGCTCTTGCTAAAGTTGCTCGCTAACTGCCGTCGTTGAAAGTTTTGCCTCCGGATCAATTTAGAGAAAATGGTTCTTATGCTAAAGGGAAACGAGTCATGGAAATCCATTCACCCGTAATTGTTTTATTGTATTAGTTCGGGGACTTCTGATTAGTGAGATGGAAATCAATAAATCTTTTATCTTTTTTCATTAGAGTAATGAACAATGCATAAGGCGATAGTGAATAAAGAACTACTTATAGATACATTAATGGTATTACAGATAATGCAATCAATACAATAGTCTTCAATGCCTTTAATTTATGATATGTAAGTATATTGTTTTTATGTTTTATGATTATTTAATAATAATTTCATAGCAGCAGCAACGGATAAAATAGTTCTACAAAATAATACCGTCATATCAAAAATTTATAATCCTTATCATGTTGGGATACAATTTGATAAGTTTGTGTATTTCACCCCAGTGCCTTCGTGTGTCTATGGTTGGATACTGTTCGCATGACTGCGTTACGTTAACGCAATATTGAAACGGTTTGCGGTACCATTATTTATTGTATCGTTAATGCAATAGCGTAATATGCGCTGAATATAAGTAGTGCCCAATAAGTTTCAAATTCAATCAGTAAACTGAGTGGTGTCAGTTGTTTTTTGCTGGAAGCAATTTTATGGTTGTAATATTACATTGAGATATTATTTACTAATGTACTAGAGAAAATAAATACAGTGCTGCGTTTGTATCCAATTCTGGCACATCTACCAGTAGTAACACAATATTGTATACGTTTGTCTATAAAAAATAGTTACGAAATTAAATTAAACATAACAGACTACAACTAACATACTGTACAATGCATAATTTGCGATAAGAAAATCTACAGATAATGCGGTATTCCTAAGTATAAGAAAAGACGTTTTAATACAATAGCTTCTCTGTTATATATTAACATAATATCTCAATGAAATATTCAAATATTTTGTTGTGTTAATATAATGTAAACAAATCTATTTATCTAATAATGATGATACTTATAGGAGTTGGTATGTTTTAAAAATTATTTATAATTGGTTGAATGTTAGTGTTATATTTTAAACTTGACTTTATTATAGTTACAAAAGTGCTCGGTCATTTTGACTATTTTAATATATATAGAAAGTGATAAGAAAATTTACAAAATAACAACTTATCAGACGAAATTAAATTAATATTAAATAATATTTATTGTTCTCAGAACAAGTGTTGCTATATTGTAATAATGTTTATGATTTCCGACAATAGTAAAATAGAATGAAAATAATAATGTAAAGAATATATTGTTGCAAAGAAATAATCATGACGATCGAGCGATTTGAATACAATAATTTCTAAATGACTGACTATGAGCCTATCCAAATCACATTAGTTAATATTTTTAAGTACGGAGTTAATAAATAAATTAATCTGTGTACAGATAACTTTTTATGTCGTACATCGATTTAATAAAGTAAATGCACAAAGGACGTTTTTGTTTTATTGCATAGTAAATCTCCGACGTTTGTGAATATTTAACGCAAGCAATAAAAGTAAAACTGTATTCTCACAGAATATAAATATAACAGTAGGAAACGTGGGTCTACTGAGTATTTCTTCGTTTACAAATGAGTAAATGAAATGCGCTATGACATTTGAGGCTATGCATTACTAAATTCAAAATTGAGTGACCTTCAAATCAAAATCAATAAATAATGTAATTTGATGTGTATTCCATTCATTTTAAAGTGTATTAATATACTACCAGCTATTACCAGCGCCAGTATCTATAAATAAAATTTCTTTACGTCAGATGTTAATTATGAAAAGGTAATAAAAGAAAACTCACTTCTATGTAATATTCCGTTTTTTATGTAATTGAAGTGATGAAGAAGCTAACCATCACTGCGGATACATGTTATAATGTAATTGACTTACTGATACCATTCATGCGTTATCATCTCGGAGGACCAAGAAGTCATGCATGTTATCCTGTTATTTTAATTCCAAACAAACCTTAAAGACAATCTGCTGATAATCGGTACACCATGACTTATAACAAAGCATTTCCGACATTTTTTGTTTAATAAGAATGGCAAACAACTTGAAGTTTTCAGAGGTCTCCCTTAGACCTGCAGTGATTTTATTTTAGTAACTCATTAATTAATAGTGAAACGTAGCATATACCACTTTCTCTTCAGTCCACACTCAAGCATCCTGTACTTAATAAATTAAGTTGGAAAGCAGTCCGGATTTATCATTTGTACATCATAGCATCCAGGTTGGGCTGGCCACAGCAGACTCATAGCTTTTGTTATAGATACTATTATATATATATATATACAGATAATACTTAGATTAATATTAATTAATGAGTCTGAATTAGTATTCTGAATCAATAGCATTCAATCAGTATTCACTCTTAATTGAGGTTGTAATACTAACTAGATACGTCTTAACAGTTTGATAGTTAAATCAATAATGGCTGCTCCCTGCGGACCGATTATTATTATTCAATCTCCATCTTGCACATCATACTTCCGGTAGTTGGGTATCGAAAGCAACATGGATGTAAGTGACGGGTTCTACGTCGGTATATAAACTTAGAACGGTGATGGAGAGTTCTAAATTTAAACCATATAATGAATTTCTATGTTTTAAGTTTGCAAGCAATATGAGTATAGCGTGTATACTCATATGTATAACTAGCTGACCCCGCAGTAGTTGTTTTGCCATGTAAATGAAAATTACTATTAAAAAGGGGTAGGTGATAGAAGGGGTGAAAATTTAGGCTTGTATTTTTTAACGCCACATTATAGAAAAAAATATGAAAAATTGATAGTAGCCGATTCTCAGAGTTACTGAATATGCATATAAAATTTCTTAAAAATTTAGGAGGAGTACGGCAACTAACATTGTGACACGAGAATTTTATATATAGATAACTTTAAGGCGTTACTTCGTTCGCGTGTCATGAAATACTATGATTGATTGACGACCTTGGTGGTCTAGCGGTCTAGCACACCGCTTTACGGGTTGGTCGCGGGTTCGATTCCTCGCACGGCACAAACATTTGCATTCTTGAGTATGATTGTTTGTATCGGTCTGGGTGTTTTCTATGTATAATATGTATGTTTTACAAAAAAAATATCTATGTATATGTATCAGTTATCTAGTACCCATAACACAAGCTTTAGCTAGCTTGACTTGGGTCTAGATGACACTGTGTCAATTGTCCTGAGATTATTATTATTATTTATAAATAGTAGTGATATCTGTGCTGTTTATTTTTATAGTCGACGTTTACGACGTGGATGAAGTCAAGACAGTTAGTTCAAACACTAGGTATTATCATCGCTAGTTTCCTGAAATGAATCTGAATCACATAGAAGATTTATTACCTGACAAAGTACATATCACCAATGCTCTCATTGGTGTTTGGTTTCTCGCGTGTGGAATGAGTAAGAGAAACCATTTTCTAGTTCCCATTATTAACAACTCATTCCACAGACGCGAAACCAACCACCAATGAGGGCATTGGTGATATGTACTCTGTCAGGTATCAATGTGTTGTTTAATATTAAGGAATGTGACTTACATTGGTACTAGGGATTCGTATGAATACAACGACCATACTACGTAACAAATAATAAGGATTAACTCGTAAATATTAACTCGTAATTCGTAAATAAATCTGTTTTATCCATATTTTCTTTCTCCGTTTACACTCATTCATAATAAAACAAAAAATCTTTCTCAAGTGTTTTCCTCGCCATTTTCTCTTTTGTAGTGTTTTTCCCCACTTGTTATGGAATTATGAATGCCTTTATAATGCTTCCCTTCTATTATTTTAACGTTCCGCAGTGCGACAGGCAGGGATAGAAAGTAAACAAATTGCATATAACTAATCGTATTTGCATTTTTTGTTCTATAACTTTAATCGTATTTGAAAAAAAAATATATTTTTTATTCTTAAAACCCAGCGCCTTCTAAATTAAAATTCTTTAAAAGATTCTAGATATATTTTTTTGTAAATACATAAATATATATAGTTTTATACAACGATGTTTGTGCCGTGCGAAACAAGCATATGGGCCATCTGGTGGCAAACAATCATATGGGCCATCTGATGGTAAATGGTTACCGTAGGCTAGGTATGTTTGAGACACTAGGGGTGTCAGGTGCGCGTTGCCGACTCTTAAGAAACCTTAATATACTCTTCTTGAAAAACCCCATACTGTAGTATCGAGAGAAAACCTAAATATCTTGATTTAATTAAAACACGTGATTGTTCTCTATTATAAACAAAATTAATACTTTTCTTATTGTAAAATGTCATTTCCCTTATCTTACGTTCATATCTCAGTGATAGTTTGAGCAATGAAGTATTATATAGTAAAAAAAAAAAAATAACCTGGAATTAAATACAAAAAAAAAATGCTAATTCAATATAGTCTATACAGGAAACTATTATAATAAGTTATATCTGTTGTCACAGCACTATCAGTGTAATATTCAATATTATTGTACACTAGCTGTACGCGCGACTTCGTCCGCATGGAATATAAATTTATTTTTCTAAAATAAAAGTAGCCTCAGTTACTCCTTATTACATCAGCTACCTGCCAATAAAAGTCCCGTCAAAATCGATCCAGCCATTTCAGAGATTAGTCGGAACAGACAGACAGACAGACAAAAATGGTAGAAAATGTTATTTTGGTGTTATATACCGTATTTATATTCATATGTATATAGTAAAAAAAGGTTATTTAAATATTACAAACAGACACTCCAATTTTATTTATATGTATAGATAAATCACTCGGAGCTATGAAAGTTAACAAAATATGTAGAATTATTTAGCATTTACTGTTATATTTATTTGGTTATATAGCTGGCGAGACTGGCACTTTTCTAGAACAACACGACATTTGGGAATTTTAATTTAAATATGTAGATGTGGGAAGGAAGTTGTATCTAACGAAGTGGCAAAAATTCATAAACTTGGTGTTTGCGTTATAATTTATTCATCGCGAGCTTTGTTTCAGGTGGATTAACGCTATAATTTAAAGTTTCAATGAATAAAAGAACACAGTCCTTTGTTATTCACTTGAGATTTGAGAAGTAAATTACCCACTGGGTGCAACACTTAAGTTTGTTTCAACAGATCTTATTTGAATTTGGAATTGTAAACAAAACAATAAGCTGCGTGTTTTATTTTTCTCACAGCATGTTTTATTTACATCTCTTCCGAAT